CTTGGTGGTGCCCCTCTCAGCAGAAATCTAAGTGGATAAGTGTGTGTATCAATTGTGCAGCATTATTTCACTCACTTAATTTTGATTGCCAAATATCGGACATTTTGCAGAAAATTTTGCTAAGATCACAGCATAAGTATCGGATGGTTGCTAAGTCCCGGAAAATGTTTCACTGAATCTCAGCAAAGAAACTTAATGTTTGCTGAGATCTCAGTAAAATAAGCTGCTGAACACTGGGCTGTGCGAATCTCGGCAAAATATATCTAGCTCGGTAAAATCTCATATCAAATCTGATTCATAGAGTAATCAAAAATGATCGGAGAGTGAGAGCGGGTAAGGGTAATCACTTTGCATTTGGCAGCATTGGCTTGCATTCCATTCATCTGACACCAGGATGACAATCGCTCTATATCAGCTTGTAGTGCGCAACAATCCACGATCGATTTGATCACACGGTACAGCTTAAGATCATCCGCATATAGTAACTTACAGGAACTTAGCATATCACACACGTCGTTAATAAACAGAACGAAAATGAGAGGTCCTAGGTGACTCCCTTGTGGAACCCCCGATGGTATATGGAATACCTCGGATCTGGAATCAAGTACCTTAACGAAAGCCTTCCTGGATGATAAGTATGATTTCAACCTTACCTTTCAACTTTACTTGTAGGAAATTTTCCCAGCTACAACTTTGCTGAAGACCACTTTTTGATTAAATGCTAGGATCGAAAGTTATTGATGGTTCAATGCACTGATGTCTTATGATCATGCTCAATCAACTGCTCAGCAGGCAACATTGGTGTTTCTGGGGCGATGAATAGGACACAAAAATTATGGCTACTATGTCACACTGCAAAATACAGTGTTGCCTACAGAGCAGTTCCGTGATCATGTCATAGTTTACCAATCTCTTAAATAATTAATAACTTTTTCCTGTCTCGTTTTACATAGAAACGATCTTTAGCAAAGTTGTAGCTGAGAAAATTTTCTATAAGAATAACTATCGAGCTGTTTTGCAGCTCAATATGGAAAAAGACTAGAAGGCAATAAACAAAAAGTTGAGATTTCCAATAGTAATTTACATGTAAACTTCAAATGGTTTGTGCGAAGTCTGTTTCTAACCAAATGAGTTGTAACTTTTGGAGGCTAATCACGGCCCGATTTGAAACCATTTAAGCACTGTGGAGCGAAAAAGTCAAATTTTGCATCAGTCTAGTGGCCAACGATGCTGCACAGTTCTTGACGAAAGACGGTGGAATACGGTCCGGGCCTGGACCTTTCGATGGATCGACTGAGCAAAGGGCTTTGAGAATAGCGTCTTGACTGAAGATGAGCTGCTGCAGGTGAATGTCGTATCTTGGTAGCTGATCAATGTATTGCTGCGGTGGAGGAGTTTGATCGGGTTCGAAAACACTTCGGAAAAAGTCAGCGAAAAGGTCAGCAGAAGCGGTGTCGGTGGTGGAGCTTCTACTATCGTAGGTGACGTCTACGGAAATACCAGCTAATCTTTTCCGAGAGTTGATAAAAGACCAGAACGACGATGGATTTTCCTTGAAACCCCTCTGGAGGTTGTCAATGTACTCACGAAAGCGAGCTTCCTGCAAACTATTATACACTGGAACCTCCATTTACGAACCAAAACGGGTGTTCGTAAATCGAATTAGTGCGTAAAAAAAAACCTCGTTTTTTGGGATTTAGGGTTAACTAGCCCATTTCCGGGTTATTAAGCACAACTCGCACTTAGTCTTTCTTAATCTAGCGCAGTTTAGCACCAAACGGAATGTTATTATTACTGATGGCTTCCAAATTTATTTACCTTTCTGTTCGTACCGTAAAATTTGATATAGAGAAACAAATTGTTTAGATATTGTTATAAGTCTAACACTGCTTCTTGACGCCAAACCCGAGTAGCACATTTTGTCAAAATAAGTTGCAGTAACTTGTTTATGACTGATATAAGTTGTATAGAAGTTGCCAAAACCGATTTGTGACAAGCGTGCTACTAGGGAACTCAGCCTATGGATTATAAACTCGGCCTTTCGCATTGAAACGCCAATGAATTCACTTCGGCCTATCTGATAAAGAAAAAAATTGATTCGGTCGGAGAACTTCTTTTGTTTGTGGGAATTATGGGTGCAAACCTTCATATCACGCGTTCTCATTGACTTTATTCGGTAGCTTATTAACTAAATTATCGTACCAAACGCCTAATTGACTTGTGAACTCTGAAATCATGGATTTATTTGAAGTTTTCTGCTCGATAGGCCCAAAATCGGCGATTAGTTCTCTACCCTACTTCGTAAAAAGAGGTTTTTGAAAATATTGTCAAATATGGGTATTTTTGGAATCCGGGTGACGTGTAGGGACCGGAAATCGATGTCTGACGGCATTTTGAAATTCAAGATGGCGGCTTCCGGTTACAGAAAAACTTGGAAATTCTGCCAAATACCCCACAATATGGGTATTTTTGGAATCGGAGTGACGTGTAGGGACTGGAAATCGATGTGTGAACAGAAAAAAATAATGTTAAATAACCCACAATATGGGTACCTTAAGCATCGGTGTGACATGCAGGGACCGGATATCGATGCCTTACGCCATTTTGAAATCCAAGATGGCGGCTTCCGGTTACATAAAAACAAAAAAATACCGTTAAATACACAACAATATGGATATTTTTGGAATCGGGGTGACCTGTGAGAACCGGGAATCCATGTCTGACGCCATTTCGAAATCCAAGATGATGACATCCGGTTACAGAAACACTGGAAAATACTATAAAATACCCCACAATATGGGTTTTTTGGAATCGGGGTGACTTATTAGGACTGAAAACCCATGTCTGACGCCATTTTGAAATTCAACATGGCGACTTCCGGTTACATAAAAACATAAAAATAATGTTAAATAACCAACAATATGGGTATCTTAAGAATCAGGGTGACGTGGTGGTGGTGGTTTTTATGTAACCGGAAGTCGCCACATTGGATTTAAAAATGGCGTCAGATATTGATTTTTGGTGTCTACACGTCACTCCGATTCCAAAAATACCCATATTGTGGGGTATTTGGCAGAATTTTCAAGTTTTTATGTAACCGGAAGTCACCATCTTGGATTTCAAAATGGCGTCAGACACCGATTTCCGGTCGATTCCAAAAATACCCATATTGTGGGGTATTTCACAATATATCCCAGTTTCCCAAAATCACAAAAAAAACTCGTTATTTGGAATTTACTTCGTAAAAAAAACTCGTTATTTGGGATTTACTTCGTAAAAAGAGGGACGTAAATTGAATACTGCGTAAAAAAAGACTACGTAAACGGAGGTTTCAGTGTACTCTGCTTCTACTAGCTGCACCGTATACTTGTTTGTTGTGGTCCGGGAACGAAAGTAACGTTTTCGAGCTTTACGCAGACGGTTACGCAGATTACGCAATTGCGGATTCCACCAAGGTTGTTGGAATTGCAAACAAGATTTTCGTGTCTTCACCGGAACAGTATCTTGGATTACTTTATAGATGTTGTCGTAGAATACGGAGACGGCGACATCAATGGTGGGTTGGTCAAGTATTTGTACCCAATGCAAGGCGGCAATCCTCGTGTTAACAACATCGAAATCACATTGTGCAAAATTATATTCACTGCGGGTTGCTGGGTACGGGAGCGGATGATCACTCGAACGGGAGTCAACTTTTAAAACCAACGGCTTCTGGTGACAATCAACTTTAATAATTGCAGAGGGTGGTTCAAACAGCTCGATGCAATCGGAGTCACTGACGAGAACCAGGTCAAGAAGCTTACCATTCGTGTTCACCAGATCGTTGATTTGCTTCAATCCAGCACACAGTATGGACTCCACTACAGCGAGTTCCTGTTCTGATGAAGCATTGAGAGGCAGAAATCCTCTGACGTCCTCATCGAAGTTTAAGTTAAATCGTATAGAATGCAAATTTCCGACCAATATGCGATGATTCATTTTTCCATCGTACTGTATCACAAATTAAATCGGATAACATCGTAAGACTTTTCAAAAAGAATTTGTTATTACAGATTAAATCGTATATGATGTTAAATCAACTCGTTTAAAATTAAATTAAAATATGCACGTATATGGCCTCCACTTTTGTACATATAAGCCATTTTTTTTGCATTATATACGAATTGTTTGTTTGTTTATATGTTTGTAAGAATCATAAAATCGCTGAATGTGACACTCGGAAAGTGAAATTGACAGCTTTCATGTTTATCCTTTAAATTTGTCGAACCTCTTAACGGAATTCCTTTATGAAGAGCTTTGAGTGGGTTGGTTTATTTCCTTTAAATTCCGTTAAAACTGCTTATCTTTTGACAGATACGCGTATTTCGTCTACTACTTGCAGACTTCATCAGTGCCAAGTACTCAACACCACCAACAACTCCACAGCAACAGGCACAGTGGTGTTGTGTACTTGGCACTGATGAAGTCTGCAAGTAGTAGACGAAATAAGCGTATCTTCTTTGAACTTACAAATACAAAATATCATTATAACTCTAATGATTCAAAAATTCCAAAATTCATTTTTTATAGCAAGTGAGTGGAAGCAACCCTGGTTTCTACTACAGATATATTCCAAATTTATTTACATTTCCATACATACCGTAAGATTTGAAAAAGAGTCACAAGTTGTTAAGTTATTGTAAATCTTCATCTAAACTAAACTATCGGCTTTTGAATGAAGGTAAAAATGTAGTGGCAAAATGTATTCGGTCCTATAGATATAGCACTTCTTTTGTTTTTGGGAAAAAGGGGTATAATCATTCATTCAGTACGTTCTTAATGATTTTGTTTAGTAACTTTGTATTTAATGTATCAAACCAAACATATAATTGACTCGTTTACACCGAAATCATAGATCAAGTATAATATAATATCAAATATTTTCTACCCGTTAGGCCCAAAATAGGCGATTAGGTGGAAATAGTTTTCTGCCCTATTTAATTCGATTTGTGAAAGGAATCTGTGCTTGATATATTTTGTCGAGTAGGATCATCACTTCTAGCTACAATGCACCATTGGCGGAATAGTACAGGTGCATCGATTAACATCATCCTTATCGTTTACTGAGTCTCCAACCTTCAATGTTATGTTGCCATACTTGCACTCGAGACTAGTATCCTTGGAGCTGTTTGGACCTTTTACTAGTTTATCGGTTTCTTCAGCTGCAATCAAAAAAAAATTAAATGTCAAATCTGATACGTATGAACTGCACATCACTTACGCAGTCTCCAACTACTAGGACAACAGAAACCATCCAGGTAAACTGGAGCAGCGCCCTTGGCCAACGAATCTGTCCAATGAATTTCGAAAGTGCACTTTTCTTCGTAGCAATTTTCGTTGCAATCCGTGTCACTTGCTTCGAAATCAACGGAACAAATACAATGCCTACAAGGATTGCTTGGAGTTCGCATGCGTTGGCCCTCGTGGTAAAACTTTCCGTCGATGTTACAAGTCGCCAGCTGTGCTATATCTTGCCCGCAGATTTTGCTAGTGGAGCAACAGACGTTTGGTTGGTACTGCAGAATGCAGTTTTCGTTTGGTGGTTGAATCATCTCAATACAGTCCATGTATGCGTAGATGAAATAGGCACGATCTTGACCGTCACTATGCAAGCGGGATAATCAATTGCGATAAGGGAACGAGAGTACGTTAAACATACGGATACTTACTCCACACAAGTATGCAGCGCTGTGCAAGTAGAAGCCGTTTCTTCACCAGGCACTTGTTCTCCGATGGAATAAACTTTTCCAAAAAGGTAACACTTGTCGTTTTGGCGGTCCTCCAGAGAATGGCAGTCATAACTTAAAGGACATCCCCTATCGTTCCTATGTTCACTTGCGATGCATCCCATCGTTGTGTAATGTTTGGTGGGTTGATCGCATGCTGTTGAGGTGGTCACTTAGGGATTGTAGAATAGAGGCAATTGTTATGAATACCTCTTATAAGATTATGTAACAAATCCTATTTGAAAGGATTCGTGAACGTACTAGTAGGAACCGAGACAATAGTACCAATGCTCGCAAGTACAATAAGCAAAAGCGTTCTCCCCATCTTGACTGATTCACATAAATGTTCTTGATTGAATAGAGGATTTCTACTTGTTACAATTATGTTTAAGTCGAAAAACAACTAAGGATGCATCCATCAATTATGTCACGCAAGAATGAGGAAAATATCCCGCTCATCTTCTTTCTGTGATGGTATTTCTTAACCTAACACATGACATAAGAAATATTTCTGAGAATCACCCTCCTGGATTCTCAAAACGTGAGATAATTAATGGATGGTCCCTGATAGATATATCAGCTGACATCATGGCTTGAGCTATTCGAACCATTCAAATGATAAGCACGTAAGATGAGATTTTTCACTATCTATAATACTACCAAAGAGGCACCAATCAAGAAGACTAGGGTTACCTTTGCTATAACTTAGTGCTAAATATTTAGTTTAGTCAATGGTTCAAAATACGAATTTTCGAATCAAACGTGAAATCTGTGCTACTAAATGTGCTGTGTATCAGCGTAGAATACTTAAAAACTGCTGATCTACATCAACCGATGCTTACAATATGGTATATAATTCATGTTTGTTGGTCTTACAATCTAGAATGTTGATCTCCATCGATGATGACATAAGGAATCGATATAAACAAAAATTCGAAAACATTAGCGTAGTTAGGTTTGCCACATACTGCGAAAGGTCGGATGCGAAATCTGTAGGCATGGACTTAATTGGAACCCGACATACCCAGGCGTTCATGGCAGTGGAGTCTGAACAAAGTAATTGATGCAGTCGACGGGACATGTTTCTTGTTGTGGATTGTGGTGAAAAGAAATAATTTTCGAGGCAGGGGACGGTCCTGGCGTAGTTAAATTACAAAAAAAAAGAATAAAAATTAGTCATTTCACTACAAAGCGAAACACCTAGGAGATTTATAAGTTCCAGCGTCTTGAATTCTAAAATGTCTTGGAGTCGTTAGTAAATGATTAACCCAACTCACCCCTTTCAATTGGTGTATGTTAAACATTTATTTTCAATAAATTAAAATTACATTGCGTGTCAACCTTGCATCTACATGGCTCGGCTCTCAGAATCTCTAAGTAACTCACAAACTTATACTGTTCACCAGTAACTCGTAGTAGCTATACTCAAGTACGCGCGAGTATCACTACACACCTCCACATTAACCATTTCCATTTTACACGGCGTATGATTACTCAACTACAAATCTACCATATGTACGTGAGAACATCTAACGTTTGGCTAATTATCGCAGAAAATACTAAAATTCTTAGCACTATTGTAGTCAGTTAAATCATGCACTTGGTGTATCTATACATTTAGACACTCATGTTCGCTGTATTATAAATTTTTTTGCAAAGCAGTACGATTAAATACTACACTATTCCTGCACTTTAAGATTTTGTATGCGACTAGACATGAATTCCATCTCGTGTGACGGCTGAGAACCGTCTATTGTTTTGATTGCTCGAACCAAATCCTCTAGAGATTTTGATTTCACTAGTGAACTACACTTTCCGGACCTGGACGACGGTGGATTGCCCGAAGTGTCCATCTGTGAGGTAGAGGGATCGTTAGTTTCCATAAGGGTCGTGGGTAGATTACTTTGAGCTGCATCGACGGCTCGGATCGTTTCCAAATACATCAAGCTCGATGGATCGGAGTTTTCACTTTTAGTTCTGGATCGTTGAGGTATGTAGTAAGGACGCATCCGGACATGTGGTAACGAACCACGAGTCCGTCGTGGGCAGCAGATCTAAAAAAAGTCGATTGAACATTGGCTCCATGCGTCATTAAATTAACATTTGCCTACGTGCATACCTGTGAAATGTATCGGCTATTGAGCTGCATTTGCAATTTGTTGTAGTTGTTTGCCAAAAAGCTGTCAGAGTATTGAATTGTGCCATTGAAGCGGTTGCCTTGTATCAAACTTTGCATTTCTTTCTGTTTCTGAACTTGTTCGTCTTCCTTTTGGTTTGCATCTTCAAGCATTTTGTACTCAACCAGTGCAAAGTTGTTGTTTTGTGTCATCCGTTTTGTATAGCGTGTATAGTATAGGATGACGTCCTATATTTTGCTCCCTGACGTTTTAGCACAGACGGAGAAAAATCGATCGCCACTCAATAAAAAAAAACACAACGCATTTGTTTTGAACCCGATAGAGCTCCACCTCTCCCCGTTGTTCAGTTATTGCTGGTGCCTCCTTTGTCACTTGTTCCGATTCCCTAGTTATTAAATACGCTTGTCTGCTGCCTTCGTTGCACCTGTATTAATAATCATAATAATAATAACATTATGATAGATAATAAACAAAACTGCGGGGTGCGACTTGGTTGCCACTGCTGTAGAATCATCAAAATCGATAGTAAGCTTTGATTTTGCAACATTTTCTCTACTTACGCTGTAAGCCGAAATTAGTTTAACTTTTATAAATAAATTTTGCGATGTACCGAAGCACTGGGAATCGGGCCAAGTGCTGTTTTTTCACATCCGTCACACGGAGATGTTTTGCCTTTCTGCGTGCTTGTGTGCAGAGGTTGGCTTGTTTTGTCGATGCGCTTTTTGCTGTCGTCGTTCGTTGATGCTGTCAGATCGACCAAATATGACAAACATGTGTATGTGTCAAGCTGAAGTTTGTTCACGAAAATGCTGTTTGTGGCGAGTGGTTTGAATATGTGATTGATCAGGTTGATATATCGGATCTTATTTCGAAAGGAGCTTCGTGCAGTCTATTTAGGCCGTTCGAAATGCTGTTGTATTTTATATGAACTACTGTTTCAATTTGAAACTAGAACAGAACCGCACCCCTCGCAATGCTGAGTTGCAGTTTCATTAATCGAGCACTACTTTGCACCAGATTTTGAACTGCTCGACTATTCGGTGTTATTTGTGAGCGGTTTTGAAATACGAATGGAAATCTGTTTCAAATTTATTTGGATGTATTTATTGATTTTTCTCGTAGATGTTCAGAGAACTTCATAGAAGGTGAGAAGATTCAATGGAAACTTGGGAATTTTACAGAAACTTTGAGAAATTCTGAGAAGTTTGAAGATATTTTATATAAGTTCGGAGAACTTCATTTAAATAACGAAGAGCTTTACGAAAAAATCGGAGAATTTCATAGAGAACCGTAAACTGTATGGAAATTGTATTTTATAAAAGTTCAGGGACCATCATCATTGGTCTAACAATTTCATAGTATATTATAGAACTTCATGGAAATCCATGGTTCTTCACAGAATTTCATGAAAGCGTTTGAGTTTTTTACACCAAGAAGATATTTTCTCACATGATACCAGGCTGCTCATAAATTATGCCAATGATCTGCAGGTGTTCTAAGATCTGAAGTCCTTTTGATATTTTTTTCAAGACTTAGAGTTGATCAGGTATTATTCTGAAAATATCCAACTTCTCTCATATGATACCAGGCAGCTAATAAATTATTCCATGTATTTTAAGATGTCTACAAAGTCCTCTGGATACTTTTTCAAGTCTTTACCCTAGTAGCACGCTTGTTATAAATCAATTGTAGAAACTTATATACGACTTATTTCAGTCATAAACAAGTTGCTGTAACTTATTGTGATGAAAGTGTGCTACTTGGGTAGGTTGATCAAGTACTATTCTGATGAAGATCTCAAACTATCCAACAATTCAAATCACATCTTCCAGATATTCCAAAGGCATTCAGGTGACCAAAGACACTTCATGTAAAACAAATAGAGAAAAAAGTAGCGGCTTTATGTGGCGTTTTGAGAAAGGTTTCTAGCTTTGTTCCGCAACATGTCTTACTTAAGTTTTACTATGCTCACATACATTCTCAATTACAATATATTATCATAGCTTGGGGCCTTGCATGTAAATCAAAATTAGTTAAACTACAAGTTTTGCAAAATAGGTGCTTGAAAATAATTTTCAACCTACCTCCGTTATATTCAACTTTTGAACTCCATGCAAGCAGAAATCATAATGTCCTTCCAATTTTAGGTTTATGTGAACTACAGACACTCTTATTGGTACACGATATTATTCATAATGATAGAACACATTCTAATCTTGTAATCAATATTGGCAACCGTTCTCACAGTACCAGGCAAGCCGGAAACTTAACAGTCATTAGAGCTTCCACAAGTCAAGGTCAAAAACGAATATCTTATATAGGTCCATTTAAATATAATGCTTTACCTAGTGAACTAAAACAAATCGTAAATCGAAATCAATTTAAACTCAAAGTTAAACACTACCTCAAAGGAAAAATCAATGAATTTCTTATGTAAACTGTATGAACCATTATAAACAGAAGTAGTAGTAAATTAGTTTATTTAACTTGGTGTTTTTAAGGATCCCTTAAAAGGAGAATAACTCCACTTGGAATCCATAGAAATAACTATTTCATATTATTCACTCTCTTTTTCTTAGATTTATTTAATTTAATTTGTAGCATATTTAAATTTCTCAGCTCGTTCTATAAAGTTCTTGTTTATTTTGTGTTGCCAATAGAGCTGAGAAAAGTTGCGTCCACTACCAGGGAGCTCACATCGAGCTTTTTGGTGTGGGGGAGAGTGGCGGGTGAAAAAAAAAGAAAAAAAAAAAAATCTCCATAAACTTCTCAGGATGTTCTCATGTCTTCAGGTTGATTTAGTATAATTCTGAAGATCTTCAACTGCCCAACAATATACATTACGTCTCTCAGATATTACCACACGAAACCAGGTTGCGCACAAATTGTTTCAAAGACATTTGATCAGCGATCTCCATAAATAATCATACTCTTTTTATATGTTTCGATAGCAGAATCGTCTGGGACCACTTCTTGTGGTTCAAACTCGTTACCTGATACAGGATTTCGAATCACCGAAGCAAACAAAATTTGCACACGCACACGTAGATATGTAGGGATACATACCAAACACCGTTTAAAACTGTGCGTTGCAGTTTCATTTTTGACAGTTTCAAATTTTAGAGCTGTCGAACAGGGTTGCTTCCACTCACTTGCTATAAAAAAATAATTTTCGGAATTATGCAATCATTAGATGTTATAATGATATGTTGTACTACTAAGTAACAAGAAAAGGGGGTAAAGTATGTGTTTGACTCATAAAATCTGTCAATTTCGCTTTCAGAGCGTCACAATCAGCGATCATATGATTCGTGAGCGTTCACTCAGAGTGAGCGCTCACGAGTCGTAAAATCGCTGATTGTGACGCACTGAAAGCAATATTGACAGATTTTATGTGTCAAACATATACTTCATGACCTCTTATTGTAACTTACAAGCACTAATTAGCATTATACTATTTCATGATTTCATAATTCCGAAAAATATTTTTTTTATAGCAAGTGAGTGGAAGTAACCCTGCTGTCGAGTAGTTTGAAACAATTTTGAAACTTAGCATTGCGAACGGCCTGAGGTGCATGTTTTAGTTTCATTTACATTTGACTGAATATGCTGTAGTTGTTGATAGAATGTCCACAACATATTTCGGAAAAGATGTCTTACCAAAAACAAAATGCATTTATTTGATCGTTAGTTAAGCCATCAACTGATGGAGGCTTTTATACAAGGGAACACAATTGTAAAAATGTACCGCTAAATTTCTAAAGAATGAGCATTGAAATCGCACGAATTACCCAAAAATATATTGAAAATGATCCATAAAACATTCAGCAATGAACCTTAAACTAATGAAAGTGATCCATAGATAATCAAGTTTGCACACTTAAAAATATATACACGATCCATGAATTAGACATGTATTTATCATGTTTTGGACTCTTTTTTTTAATTTGATCCATAAACCTTGGAATATTGCTCCATTACTGCGGAGCTACTCAGGTTTACTGCTCTGTCGTGTTTTTTTTTGTCGAAGAGCGAGCATCTAGAATAAGCATCTAAAAGAAGCTTTTAAAAAATATTCTCTAGGATGATTCTTAACACTCCGAACACGATGCAACCGGTAAATTGTGTAACGGCCAATTGGTAATGTTTGAAAAATTATTTACTACAAATACTCAGCAATTTATCTATAGATTTTAATCCTATTCATACCGAATAAATCTTTAAAGTTTTATATTTCAAGTAGCGCCCATAGATTTGAAATTCGTCAATAAATAGCTGAGCTATGATTTATCAAACATTACAAGTTTGCCGTTACACATTTGATTAGAGGCATCGTGTTCACAGTGTTAAGAAGATTATTATAGAAGCTTTTTATGGAAACTAATTCTAGACGCTTACCCGTCGCTTCGCACTTCTACCTAAAAAAACACGGGTATGTCAGTAAATCGAAGTAGCTCCGTAGTAATGGAACATCTTTCCAAGGTTTATGGAACAAAATCAAAAAGTTAGTGTCCAAAACATGAACAGTACATGCCTAATTTATGGATCATGCCTATTTTTTTAAAGGCGCAAACTTGATTTTCTATGGATCACTTTCATTAGTTTTAGGTTCATTGCTGAATGTTTTATGGATCATTTGCAATATGTGTGTGGGTAATTCTTACAATTTCAATGCTCATTCATTACACGGCGAATGAGAACGACTCAAATTTGAGTTTAGTTCACTCATAATCGCCAAAAGTGCAGGAACTCAGCGATGAGTAAAATTTGCCTCATGGTTTCCTGTGGAAAACCTAAAAAATCTGCCGGAAAATGAGGAAATTGACGAAAATTTTATTCAGTCTCGGAGTAGTACCAATAGACTGAGTGAATCCAATCTTTACTTTTCTCAAATTCAGGAATTTTTCCCTGGAAAATCCTGGAAAAACCTGGGAAAACATGAGGCAAATTAACTCATCGCTGAGTTCCTGCACTTTTGGCGATTATGAGTGAACTAAACTCAAATTTGAGTCGTTCTCATTCGCCGTGTAGATATTTAGCGGTACATTTTTACAATTGTGTTGCTAAATTTGACTGAAACTATGGATCATATTGATATTTTTTATGGATCATTCACACATTTTAAGGGATTTTCACTGGGGTTTTATGGATCATTTGGTTGTTTTTAATGAGCGTTTTTAAATTTGTTATTGATCATTTATTAGTTTTTATATTCAAAAGTAGCCCCGGAGATGAACCAGCGTCTGGCTGAAAATCTCCTTAATAAAGACAACCAACCAACCATTCAAAAGTATGTTTGCCATCTTCTAGTAAAGTATGCATTTGACACACAAAACCTTTCAATATTGCTTTCAGAGTGCTAAATCAGTGATTTAATTAATCGTGAGCGCTCACTCAGAGTGAACGCTCACAAATCATAAAATCGCTGATGGTGAGTCACTGAAAACCAAATTGACCGGTTTTATGTGTCAAACACAGATTTTTACACCTCTTCTCGTAGCTTACATGTGTACAATAACATTATAACATCTAATGATTTAATAATTCAGAAAAACAATTTTTTATAGCAAGTGTAGAATAAGTTTATTTAAAGTTATTTAATTTTACACTTGATAAACTTACTTTAATTAATCGTGTTTTATTACTTCATGCATGAAGTTAACGATTAACATGCTGAGAGATG